AAGTTATCTGTTTTATCGACCGAACGTGATTATTTTCCATGACAAAATAAACATAATTAAAGCAACAGATTTAAAAATTCTTCTCCATGATTAAAGTATAGGCATCAATGTAGTTTTGGCCGGTAGAAATTACCCTGCCGAAAATGTTCGATTAAAATCGATTATAAAAAAAGTTATCCGAATCGATCGGGATTTCTGCACCGAAAATACGGTATCAAAAAGTATTAACATCATTCAAATCGGGTATAAATCACTTTAGACGGATTAGTATCAGGTGATAGGAATCTATGTCAATCCAAACTTCGATGATAGCTCGTATGAAAAAAGCAATTAGTCGATCCAAAATTTACTGATTGATATATGATGTGACCGCACTTTTCTCTTGTGTCGGACTACAAGGTCGGTCGTTGACCGGCACTAATCCGGCTAAATGCAACGATTACATTAACTCGCAATTACGCAGCAATCAAAAACGCGAAGTTGGGCGCCAGGCACGAGCGGGCGTGCCACCCTTCGAATTATTACGCGGAATCAAACTCTCGAACGCGGTAGAGGGGCGGTTCGTAGGGTGCTGAGGAATGTGGAAGAGCAAGGGCGAGATAGAACACTCCAAATTTTAGTAACAAGTAACAGATATATTTGCGTGTGCTGGAATTCACAGGCGATTCGTTCGGCCGCGACTAACGCCGCGGCAGCCATCGGCGGTATCGCCGAGGTCGCGATTCGCGCGTCCGGGAACGCTCCCGGAGATGACGGGTGTACGAGCTTCGTTCTTTCTCGACCTCGAATCCGCGAAAATATCTTGTCGCTGTACGCGAGTACGCCTCGCACGGCGTACGACGGATCACACACCACGTGGCGTCTTGATAATTCTAAGTACTGCCGACATTCGGCACGCTAGCACGCAATAATTCGGACACTCAATAACGCGAAAGAAACACAAAATGACATATAATTAACGCACAAGTGACCCGGCTGTGGCAAGGCGAGCGCAAAATACTCTACTCGATTCGCGTAACTCTATGCCGGGCGGATGGCACACATTGACTCTACACACGAACACACGATTACGCGGACAACGAAACTGAAATAGCGCGATCCGCCCCGACAATGAAACCGGCGGCTGACAGTTGTAA